GAAAACTATCGATAGTCGACTATCGTAAAACCATCGATAGTACTGTCGACGGTGTTCTATCGATAGTTTTGCGAAACTAGTAGTTTGCGTCGATCCCTCTTCTCTTTTTCTCGCTTTAATTTTTTTTCAAGTGGGACACCACCTAGCCCAAGCACTTACCATAGTGGTGCAAAACTGTCGATAGTACTATCGATAGTGTCGATAGTCGCCAGAAATTTGATTATTGATAGTCCTATCGATAGTTTTTTTCGATAGGACTATCGATAGTGTAAACTATCGGTAGTACTATCGATAACCGACTATCGAAAAACTATCAATAGCACTATCGATAGTCGACTATCGAAAAACGATCGGTAGTACTATCGATAGTCGACTATCGAAAAACTATCAATAGCACTATCGATAGTCGACTATCGAAAAACGATCGGTAGTACTATCGATAGTCGACTATCGAAAAACTATCAATAGCACTATCGATAGTCGACTATCGAAAAACGATCGGTAGTACTATCGATAGTCGACTATCGAAAAACTATCAATAGCACTATCGATAGTCGACTATCGAAAAACGATCGGTAGTACTATCGATAGTCGACTATCTAAAACTATCGATAGTTCTGCGGAACTATCGAGAGTCAATTTATCGATAGCTTTGCATCACTACCATCTGGTCCACGTGAGCTTGATTGCCCACATGATGCAAGAGCAGATTCGAGTTCGTTCAGAGAGAAATCAACGTCCATGGATGACAGAGTTGACTGTGGTGTTGGCCGTGGCGTTTTCGGTGTGCTCGTGTGTGTCGACTGCGCCTGCGTATAATTCGTATACAGAACTGATTCGCAGCCTCTACATCTGAACACTGCATCGATAGAGATAGTGGCCGAAATGGATAGCGTTGTTGCGGTGTCGTTCGGAGACCTCTTGATATTTGCCATACTCTTGTAGTACTCTTCCTTGGAACAAGTTCTGAGCACATTTTCCGCCAACGACGTTTTGCAAGTTTGTTCAAATGACGTTTGATTTTGTTAGTTACTCGTCGGAACACAAATAAATCCTCAGGCCTTTTATGCTTTCTAACTCGCCTCTCAGCACGCCGGCGAAAAGCCCGAAATCGCGCATATTCGGCATCGAATGTACTCTTTTTAATCGGTAAGGTTGTTTGCTCTCTTGATTGGTTTAACGAACGAGTTATGGCTTCTGTGAATGATGGTAAGACCATCTCTTGGTTGCATTCCTCGGTCATTTTTTCTTGAAAGTTCGCCCAATCGATATGGTTAATCTCATGATGAGTTTTAACATTTTTAAAATTCCCAAGCTCCGTACAGGTGGGCACGTGATCACTACCCCCGGATTCAATGTCTGCAAACCATGTCGTTTGAGATGCTAACGATGGCGAAACGAATGTGAGATCTAGGCACCTACTACTCTTAAGGTTCTGTATGTACGTAGGGCTACCGTCATTCATTAGGCAGAAATGGTGACATGCAGCAATATCTGCCAACCTCCTACCTTGAAGGTTGGTGTGTATACTGTCCCATATAGAATTCTGGGCTTTGAAATCACCTGTGAAGAAAAATGGCAACGGGTACTTGCTGAAAATGTCAGTTTACTCCGCTCCTGCAACATTACAATTATCAAAGTATGAGCTGTACTAAGTTAATAGAATCAGCTACATTTGACGGGCAAGTCGCCGCCCGTTAAATTTAGGGGATTGTGGTCAACTAAAGCTAATGAGGCCACGTTGCGGACACTTTTTTAGACGGTGTTTTTCTGTATATCTAGATTACAAGCGGTATTGTCTCTTCTCCAGACAGCTGAGATTCCTCGAAATTCTACCGGCAGTCGCCTCCCATTGGCGGTGACAATCAGTTCATCGAACGGCGTTTCATCGACAGATCGTATCATCGACGCCTCAGGATACCTTATATCATAGCCTCCTCTATACTCACAAAGCCTGACAGTCGACGACAGAGCCATAGAGTGCCCGGTCGCAGATTTGGAGCGCGAGGAATCGGTAGCATAGGGCATCAAAGAATCCTTTCTCGGGGAACCTGGACGTCAGCGCACAGCTGTTGCAGCGGCGAGGACCCGAAACATATTTGTTCGCTCGGGAGAGGTGTGTTTCGGCGTCTCGCCGCAGTGGGGCACCAATGAAGTGGCTCTCCTCTAGGGAGGCTCTAGTGAGGGTGGGCGCAACTCAAAACCTGGAGAGCGTTTGCAATTTAATGGCGGCGCCTGAGAGAGAGGAATCGAGAGAGGATATGCACCAGTGTTGCCTGCACGAGAGCAGGCGCCCGCTCTGTTGCAACTCTGTTGCTCCATGCGCCTTTCCTCCTCTCGCCTCCAGTTGCAACCAAGGAACGCCTTGGCGCAGCCTCTCTCGCTTCCTTCTCGCTCCGAGAATTGCAAACGTCGAGCGGAGAAAGCAAAGTTGCCAGACAAGCAGCAACGTCCAAGATGGCGGAGTTTACCATTTTTCACGTTAAAATAATACTTAACCCATCGAAACAAAACGGGTGGCTATAGAAAAGTAATCATTTATACCTTGTGTAAATTATTCAAGCACCTTAATGGGCTTTTATGACCCGAGTTAGGAAAGAAAACGACCCTTTGCCCCATAGACTCCCAGCAAAATTTAGCAATTAAATGGCGTCCATGTCCCGTGATCGCCGATCTAGCAGTTGCACCCACCCTCACTTGAGCCTCCCTACTCTCCTCTCATTCGTTGTCTGCCGCTCCCACTTTTTCATTTTGGCGGCCGCTTCTCGTGGCCATCTGCCAAGCTCTGTCAGTATATAGGAGGCTATGCTTATATCTGTAATGAGCCGCCTTAGACTGTCGCTGCGAAGCGGCGTGTCCGGGTGGGTCAGGTATGTTAACATTTTTGTAATGAACCGCCACAGACTGTCGCCGCGAAACGGCGTCAACAGGTGGGCTGGTAGGCCCCTATGCAATGGGCCTTTTTCAGATTTTGGCAACGATCGTGGCGGGCCTTCGCGGGAATAACTTCGAAACACTTTTGGGAACTGTGTTTTACGTGTGTTCTCTAGTGGCGTTGTTCCGGCTTTCGCCATTCTGCACGTCGTCGCCATTATGTCGTCGCTTCGCATGCATCTTTGCTCCTAGATGTCTGAGGACGACCCCGGAGGATTAATGAAAGCCACTGTCTACATTACGGACGACCAAGTTTATTTTTATACCTTTAAAGGGATACTACAACGAAATTTCGGTGCTCATTTTTTTGGTCTATATGTGTTCAAAAGAGCAGTATCACATGGAACATACCAATATCTTGTTAAAAAAGTCTCAAAAAGGAATTTTAAAACGAATTAAACGATTAGCAAAGGGCACCTGGTGGATGTCGCTAACGCCTCGTTTGTAATGCTCGTCTAGGAACCTTGACAGCTAGTGACGGAGGTTGTCTCGTCTTCGGCCACGACGAGAGAAGGGGGGAAGGAGGAACTTCCCTCTTCCCGAGAGTCCCTTTTGTGTGTCGCAGAAGTCGCTATTGTCCCCCTAGAAGATTATAGAAGATTAACCCGTCACTCAAAATTCGTACAAAAGCAGCCGCTTCGGTGGCTGGAACGACTAGGCCAACTTCTCTACGTCAGCCTCGCCGTAGCTTTGCTCGTCTTGAGACGACCTACGTCACGATTGCGTTGGATGTCACGTGCTCTAAGCTGGGCCTTCTCCGAGCGCTTGCTAGAGTGGGCCGTTTATAACGAAAAATACAGCCACCAGAATCAAAATACAAACGTGCGATTGTCATTTACGGATATTGTGGATCATATTCAACCTATTTTTGAACACGACGGGAATATTTCAAATTTCGTTGAAGTATCCCTTTAAAGATGAATAGACCGCCAACGCCGCATGAGTTTCTACTGTCGGCAAGGAGTCTGATTTTGGGTAATGCAAGCAACTGAAGAAAGGGTCGGCTTTCAAGGCAGAGTGTAATGTACGGAAAGTAATGGTGACCAGTTTCGATCCCGACCCAACTAGCAACCTTGCGCGGAGTTTGTGCGCTCCGTTCATGAGGCCCGGTTACTGCTAAAAGCCGATTTCTCCTTGAGCGTCTAAGTTATTTAAGCTTATTGCGAGACGACAGCCTTGCGCTTCGTCACTTTGCCTTCCTGTTGTACCGCGCGAGCGCACGGAGCCTCGCTGTACCCGGGGCCGTGTAAACAAACTTGGAGGGGGTAAAATCAGAGCGGTCTTGATACAGCGAAGGCTCACCTGCACCATCAAAATGTAAGGAAGGGTATGCTAGAAACATTATCTCTTTGAATTCAGTATGTTTACGAACATCCGACGAAATGGGCACTGCAAACAGGAGAGTTCACGGTTGGTTGCCAAGGCGTTCCGTCAGGCTGTTGTCGACGTAGGGCTTCAAGCCACTTCGCACGCGTTAAATTTTTTGCCAATGACTGCAATTTTTTCTTTCACGCCGAATTAGCATTGTTTGACCGATTGAGCGGACGAGAGAGGAGCCAAAAATGGCACCCCTCTCCCTTTCTTTTCCTCTCTCAGAGTTGACGCATGTGCCCAAAGATATCTGGAGAATGTCCATTCGCGTAACGAGTGGCAATGAAACGTTGTTGTCGACAAAACGTGTGTCCATAAAACGTGGATCAGTGAAAAGTTGTCCATGAAATATGTTTCCACGAAATGCCGGGCGAATAAGACAGTCAGTATACCCTGCCGGCAATTGTCACGTAATTTCAGAGAGCCAATGGGAGGTGACTGCCGGTAGAATTTCGAGATGTTCTCCGGGATGTCGGGAGAATAGACACTGCCTAATTATAACGTATTCTAAGTTGAGGTGTCTTCGATGAATTACTCGTCACATTTTGTGTCAACATCCCTGACTGCCTACTTCTTCCGCACTCACAATCCACACCGCATAATAAACACTTTCGGTATTGATAGTAAAACGCCGATTGCGGGTAGATTCCTATTCAGGGCATCTGCTTTCGTCAATATGAAAAGACAACGCGCGATCAGCGCTGAGGAAACAGTTTATTCGCTGTAGCCTACACACATTTTGCGACATCGCAGCTCGTCAAAGGAGTCACAAATGGAAAAAGCAGAGGGGCTCGTACGGATACAGATTTGTTTTGTAGCGTACGGTAGCAGTGTAAATCCTCACCGACACAGCGAGAGTCGCACGAACGAGGGACACCCACGGCCACGACCGTGGGAGCTTAAATGTTCTGCAACGGACACCACCCTCCAAAATGGGTGATCATGAGTTCGTTCATCATCATCTTCCAGAGCTCTTCGAAGATCTCCTTGTCCTCCTCCGATGGGAACTGTAGAGCGTAGGAAAAGTCGAGGTCGTCCAGGCAGAGCGGGGACTCTGCCAGCGACGGGAAGCCGAAGACGGCAGGACGATCCACCTGGAAGGGCGATGGTAAGCCGGTGGCCAAAGGACGCGCCACCGAGAACGTCGACGAGGGACGTGCCGGAAGGCCGACGGGGAATGAAGTGGGCGTCGCAACTACAGCGTTCACATTCGCTGCCCGACTGTGATTTATGTGCGCTCTCAAGTGGTAAGTGAAGGTGTCCTCCCTGAGGAAGACCCTTGAGCACACGGGGCACAGCAGCCGCTTGGCCGCACGGCGTCTGAGCGGTGCGTGGGTTTGACGATGAGCTGCCATGGCCTCGTCTCTGCACGGCTTCCCACAGATATCGCAGGTAACCCACCCATGGATCTCGACGTGCTCGCGCCATTGGTCTTCGCTGGAGCAAATGTAAGCGCAGTACTTGCAGGGAATCCTCCGCGGAGGTGCTGGAAGGCTGACGTCGGGAAGGGCTCGAAGCTGGCCGAACGCGACGCCACTCTGGTTTAGGGTCTCGACGTGCTGGCGCGTTGCAGCAGTTACTGGAGTTTGCAGGGCGTTGAAGATGATCCGCTGAAATTCTGTCGCAGCGTTGCTCCCCGCAAGGTTACTTGACATTGCGTACTGAGGCTGTGCAAGGTTGTTGGAAGGTACCTCCGTGCGAACTTGATATAGGACGTCATTCACGCGGAGTTGTCCGCTTCTTTGTGTCGTCGCTGACAGAGGATCGGCGTGAAGGGCTTCATCCTGCAGCTACCGAAGATGACATATTAGTAGAGGCACTGGGGTTTAGGACAGCGAAGTAGATAGTGATAACCAGCGGAGGTTGCCTAACTGCATCGTGACATACGTCGAGGGAAGCTGCTCATACATACACCACACAAAAAACACGGCGTTCACTTCAGACATAATGACCGAATTATCCGAGAACGCGCCTGAAGCACGCTTGAAACATGTTTAATTCATATACGCATATCGGTGATTTCATCTCAAATCGTGCGGACAAAAAAGGTCGAATTTTGAATTTCGCTGAAAAAAAAATATGTTATGGTGTCGCCTCTAAAAACTCAGTAGCCACAAACCGCTAGCTCGTCGGATTTTTGGTTCTCGACTTACGAATTTTAAAAGAGGAAGTGGCGGAAAGCAGTGTTTTTCACATCCGTCGTAGGTCGGATGTTTCGCTCGAACTCCCGCCGTGGATTTTGAGGCCATATTATATTAACTCTTTTTCAAGCATGTTTCTTCTCTACACCAGTCTCAGGTTAATTCAACATGATTCAGTTAAGACTTTTTTTTTTATTTTGTGTGTGTTTATTCGCCCCGCTGAACTTCGTTTCACGGGTGCGGTTCTGCAGAACGTTTTTTTTTGGAATGTTTTCTTACTAACTGTTTGTTAGCATTGTTTACTTGTTGGGTTTATTTCGTCATGGCGTAGCGGCCTGACGGTGTTGTAGAGAGCTTGTTCGCACGCATTTGGTTGTGTCCCGTTTAGGGAATGCCCGGAGGAGTTGGTTTCTGTTCTTGCGGTGTGCGGCTGTTTTTCCGTCTTAAATAATTTTTTTTTTTTTTTTTACGTGTTGTCGATTTTTTTTGTCTGACTCTCCACCAGGCGTGGACCTATCGCCTCGCCACCGCTCGAACCTAAATCTTTTATTTTTTTAACGCAATTTTCGTTAAAATCGGAGCTGGGTAATTTTATTATTATTTATTTATTTCTATCTCCTACCCCTCTCCGTGACAATCTCTCCGTGTGTTTCGGACCGTTTTTGTGTCTTCACTTTTGTGTATTACGGAAGTGAAAAGCCATTCCCTGGTGATCTGTGCGATGTGCGGTGAACAAACCCTAGCGTTTGGCTTCGGAAAGAATTGTATATAATATATCAATTATGTGGTGACTTGATATGTCTTAGTAATATGAAAGCTAATAGCTAGTCATGCTAGTTTACAGTGAAAGTTTTATAAATGGAAGCAATACAACGTCTGTGTCTCTTCGATATTGAAGGTCTACTAGGCCTAATGATTTGGTTAGATATGTTTCTCATGGTTTCCCGCTCTTGTCGAAACAGAAATAACGATTCAATACCACAAATTGCGTTTATAATTGATTACACAACGCAGACAAAAATTCAAGAAAACTTTTTATCAATTCATAGAAACGCACGGGTCGCTATGTCTGACTTAGGTCTTGCAAAACGAAGAGGTCTTTTTTCCGCCCCATTGAGGCTCAAATATAGAACATATAAACAAAATACACACTTTCTCGACTTACTTTTCGAGTAGACAGCTATCATATCTACATTTTAGCAAAAAACTTTTAAAAAATGGCGTTTTCTAGAAAATTGATTTCATAATGTGTACTTTTTGGGTTTAGCTTGAAAGTAACGTAAACGTACCGCAAAGGATATTTCCTACAACTGAGTCATTTTATAATATATATAAAGAGCGTGTTTTGTGCTCTCCATATACATGAAAAAATATTGATGTAACCCAAATAGATTGCCAGTATTTAATTCTCAAAATTCGTCAACAATAAACCGAGGGGGCGTTTTTGACATTTTTAGAGAACAAAAGCAAAACGCCTAAAATTATTTGATGGTATTAGAGCCTTTTACCTGTGCTCAAAGAGTGCTTGAAAAAAGTTAAGGTGATGGGGACTAAAAATCCACTAAATATACACTGTAAACGACGTAATTGTGGACGAGTCAGACCGAGAGAGACCAGATCGGTTTTTAATCCTCTTGCGACTTCTTAGGACCAGCTCCGCTGCAGCTCATCTGGTCCTAAGACCTCGCAAGAGGCTTAAAAACTGGTCTGGTCTCTCTCGGTCATACTTGGTCGGATATATGTGAACGTCGCTTAATCTTGTTGTTTTGAACAACTTTAGAGATGCTTGCGAGCTAAACCCTTTTGCTTCTCTAGCCGAGTTTGCTTTCGATATATGCTCAATTGAGCGGCGCGCTTAAAAAGAATATCAAGACTGTCAACACTGCAGACCATCTCTCTCGCGCCCACGTACCCACGTGCTCTCTGCCAAACGTTGAGAATATTGTCGAACGGTTTAGAGAGGTGTCATGTGGACTTGATTTTAACTGCATTCAGTTTTTAGACATTTTGATTCTTTTTTCTGAAGAACATGGCTGTTTTCAGTATTGTCCGCGCACTAAGAAAAGCCTGGTTTTTTCTTTGAAAGTGCTCACTTTAAACTGGTAAAGAGGAGTATACCCTTGACATGTCAAGTGCGGCTCTGGAAAAAAGTTGCAATCACCAGATGAAAATCAGTCATGAACGACAATCAAAAAAATTCGGAGCCATTACAAATATTATTACAAATAAAAACCGTCCGAGTTGTTTTTCAGTGTAAGTTAAACCTCTCAAAATAACTGAGATATGATTATTTGAGGTTCACTTACTTTAAAAGGGTTTAATAAGCTTTTGGAATTCAGCGAATATTTTAGCGACTTCCTGGCGAATCTAGCGACTGTTTAGTGACTGCCTGGTCTCAATTAAGCGGCGCGCAAAACAAAAAAAAAAAAAAAATGATAGCAACACTGTTTGATACCCAGAAAAAGGTCTCGATTAATCTGCGAGGGGGTGAACAGGGTCTGTCGTACAAGGCATCCGCGAGAACGCGGGATGCGATCTCGCAGGCAGTCAGTTCATCGCAAGACGTTTCGTCGACAGGCCGTTTAATTGATAGTTCGTTACATCGACAGTTCAGAGTAGCTTTTTCTGTAATGAGTCGCCGCAGACTGTTGCCGTGGAGCGGCGTGAGCTGGTGGCTTGCTATAATATAAATAAACAAAAGCAAGCAGGCATCTCCTACATCTTGACGGATAATAAGACGGTCCTGCGAAGCCCACATCGAAATCGATGCGTGTTTATGCATGCTTTCTTACTGGGTGTAATTAAAAACCCGCTGTAAGCACTGATAAGGCCTGTTCACACATGTAGCGGAGCGCTACAAGAGTAGCGCTGACCTCGCGCTAAGCGCGTGCTGACGGGAGCGTTCACCAGCTTTGTATCGCACCGTCAATACTGTTGTTCATGCCAGACAATAAGTAGCGGACGACACGTGACAAGCGCTACATTAGCGCTTCGCTGCATGTGTGAACCGGCCAATAGAGTGAAGGCGAGCTGCTCGACATCTTGTAAACCCTGAGATGGGAAACAATAAAGAATACAGAGAAGTTTCCCATCTCAGGGTTTACAAGATGTCGATTGCTAAAAACGCTGTGTCTAGAGTACAGTGAAAGTAGGCATACTAATTTCTGCCACAAAGGGCCAAAAGCAAGACATTGTTCACTAAAGAACGACATTTACTCGCTAGGACGGCACTCGAATCCGGGCGTAGAGTGCCGTCGGCACTTGAACGCTCCGCAAGAATGTCATGAGGGGGCACTCAAGACGCCGAATTAAAAAGCGTGCCGGGAGGGGGGGGGGGACAACTTTGTTGAAGCATAAAAAAAAAAACACCTGAGTGTTTAAAAGCACGGGTTCTTGCGTAGTCACATGTCGTCAAAACGAACTTTTGTACGGAAGTGGCGTTTCGATCGCGGGAAAGAAGTACGCCAAAGCTCCGATCGGCCATTTCAGAACCGCGTCCCACGGCTTACCCTCGCACATATTTCAGTCGGTGATGCCATCTAACGTAACCAACAAAAACAAACAAAACACAATAAAAAAAACGCCGGCTCATAAAAAGAAAAAAAAAAAAAAAAGAAGAGATCTTACCTAAGCTTTCACGCCACGATCTGTGACGATGTATTGAGGAGGTAGGGACTTTTCGCAGATCGTTTTCGCCGTCCCGCAACGCTGTCCGCAACCCGCCACTACGATACCCGGAACTCTACAGCCGAGGCCATCGGCGCGCAGTTGCAGTAGTGGCTTCTTCATTGCGAGGGCTTAGCGGAGGGGGAAACACGGTCTACGAAAACTGTTTCAACGCTCAGCCCTGCCAGTCTCGATCTGGACAAGCGACGTACCGGCGTACAGTCGTACGTCCTACCACTACTGCACGATGCACGTTGAAGACTTCGGGCAGCAGCACTGCACCGGTTAAATTTCTCAAAACAGCGGAGTCAGCAGACGCCCATCGGACGGGACTAAATCCCTGCTATCTAACGAAACACGCTAAACTGTAAACTGTATACGAGTCGATAGAGACCAGAACGTATGGCTATTGGTAACAACCCAGCCGCGCCAAAAGTGGGTCGTCACGGCGTCCGTTGTCCAGGGAATCAACGATCACCGAATAAACTAATCACGCATAAAAAAAAAATGGCGGCGCATTTAGTGTGCGTGATTGGTTTGATCGGTGATAGGAAAGGCGATGAGCGCAGTGACGATGCTCCTTTGGAGATACTTTCGATGAGCATTCCATAGGATGCCGGATGTCCAACTTGGAAATCACTCTTACCTTTGACCTGAACAGCTCCATCCTCTGCTGTATACGCAGACGTGGTTCGCAGACGTCAAAACTCCGAAAGACCGTTTCGAGCCGAGATGACCGTTGAAACCCGGTCACTGCCGGAATGACGAATGTCTTGAGTTGCGAGAGGGATGACCTCATGCTTTGTTTTCTTATCTTCCGACTCCCTCCCCTGGTTCCCCTCAGGCCAAGAAACTAGGGGAATCGCGTGGCCCTGCACCGGTCAGCCGGGCTGTCGGAGAGGAGGTCGTGGCCGGACCTTGACGCCCTTCACCCCCGGGAAGGGAAGAGCGGGACGCAAGCCGAACGCTGGTCCGGTACAAAAGAAAATCCTGGACTACGAAGGTCACCTAAACCGAACAAACTGACGATCGGCGCCTGTTTTTCTTCTACTGCGTGTTTTTGCAGGGGCTCCAAAGACCGCGTCCTTGCGGGGCTAGTAACACGGGGTTTTTGCGACGGGGATCGTGCAAGTGGCGCAATAGTGCTAAACCCAAGCTAAACATATTGTTCAGACTGCGCCAGGTAAATACCCGTTTATAATTATTACACCAGGGAGTGTGTAAAAAAAGATGTGATAATGTTTACAGTTGTTAATGGAATTCGAAGTTTCCACACTATGAATTATAGAGGTACCGAGCATTTTATACGATTTAGTCGTGTTCGTTTTTAAGATAGTTTCGTCTGGCAGTGGATTACGATTTAGGAAAATACGTCCTAATCAAATAATGTGACACGCTGTTCGCCTCTTCGAATATAGGTTCAACTTCATTGGCGACCTATCCGAAATCGAAGGCATCTAGCCGCTAGGTCAGAAA